CTACACGGGGTGTGAACACTTGCAGGGATGGCGACTCCAGCACTGCCCTGGGCAGCCTCACCAAAACCATTGCTCCTGGGGAGAACATGAAAAACCCCAACTCCAGTCCTGCAGGGCAGAGGGAGGGGGTTCAGCTCTGCAAAGGGCCTGCAAAGAAAGAAATCTCCACTCGGTTCTTTAAAATAGATTTCTTTAATAGTTTCCATTTAATACGTTAATTTGCAGTTAGTGAATTGGCATTAATCTGGGCAGCACAAACCTCAGCAAGCCCTGGGGACAGTGCAGACTTCCAGCAGTACTTGTTAGGGACAGGGGGTCCCACCTCCATCCCAGAAGCTCTGCCTGGCACCATGCAGGACACCTCCCTCCCCTCCCTGTGCTCTCCGTAAGTATGGCAACACAAGGATGAAAGACAGAGCTGGTCCCCCTCAAAATGAGATAGTTGAGGCATCTGGCATGGACAGATGAGCCCACAGGGATAATGTGCCTGGGACCCTCTGCACGCTCATGGCCCGACCCCCAGCATGTTCCCTCCTTGAAGGAGCTGCTATGGGTTCCTTTCCCTTCTCTGCTGATGGCCAACTTGGTCTCTTGCACCAGCCTGAAGGCCAAGGCAAAGCCAAGCTGCCTCCACCACATGTGGATCCCGACATCACTGTGAGGACCCCAAAATCACTGTGATTACCCAAGGCCAAAGGTGGGGTTTTCAGCCACATGGCCAGATAGCCAAGGCCAGCAGAGCTTGGTCCCTCTGTTACATCAATCCAGATGTGAGGCTCTAGAGGTTTATAGCAGCGATCACTGGATGCACCAATAAAAGGCATCCCTTCAGTTAAAAGCCTTTTTAATTTGAAGCATTTATTTTAAGTGTACATCTATTACAGTTAAGAAGAAGCAAAGATACATCAAAAACACAAGTACCCAAGAACAAAAAAAGTACAGAGGAGAAAAATGAGCTCAGGGGAGGGAAGGGGCAGGGAGGGGGGAACCTGATGCTGCAGCTCTGTAGTGAGGAACTCCCTGACCAAGGGGTGCAACCAGGGCAGGGTCTGCCCAAGAGGTTCAGCCCCTCAGGTGGGACACAAGGATCCCAGGAGCTCCTGCATGAATCCAGGTTAATGCACAAGCTCAGCAGCTCTGACCCCCCTGTAAGCAAAGTACCAACTGCAAGTCCAGAGCAGGACACCAACTGCGAGGTAAGCGAGAGGAGAAGGGGGACGTTGAGAGCAAGTCCTGCACGGGGGGAGCTGGAACCTTGCTCCTCACCCAGGCCCCAGCCTGGGGACCCTCAGAGGGGGTTGCATGCTGCTGGCACTGATGAGAGACAAAATGCTTCAACCCTGGGACATCCTTTCCCCCATCCCTTGCTGGAGCTGGGACAGAGCTGAAGCCAAGTCATCTCATCAAATAACTTAAGAAAACTTAAGAAGTGTTTTAAAGAACACAGGTTTCCTTTAGCTGGAGCTGCAAGACACAGTTTTTGACTCAAACGCAGTGGCTCAGGACTTCAGGCTGTTATTTCATTCCTGGGAATGTGACTGTCTTGGAGCAACACTACTACCGTTGGTGAGCAGGCAGGGCAGGTGCAGGTTTGGCAATCAGGACTGCCAACTACCAATTCCCCCTTTCCCAACGTCTCCCACAAAGTTCCTTTCAACCAGGAGTGTTTACTCCCAGCATTTAACACCTTCTGATTAAAACAGATCCAAGGAAAACAACTGACATCTCCAGCAAATATTGCACTTCAAGATTAGTGTATGGGTTGAGCTTAAGGACTGAAAGCAGAGACTGACATAAGACTTCAGGCATAGCAGGTCAGCATCAAGAGCAGTGGTCCTGAAAAGGATTTTAAAACCAGATTAGTTCCCCAAGAAGGGACAAGCTGCAAGTTTACCAAAATTAGTATATTTTAATGCTCTGTGAAAGAGCCAACCTCTGTTGCAACTGCCCCATTGCTGAGCTGTCTCTGTTCTGCACAGCATTGTCACACCTTCAGGCAGGAAGGGGAAAACAGCAGGGGCAGAGGTTCTCTCCTAACACACAGATTTAGTACCAAATGATCCAAAAGTAGATGGTAAAGAGGTGACTGGAGCTGGGGCTCTCAGGAATTAAAAGCACACACGCACACACACACACTCTCACCAACCCTGAACCCCCGATTCCAAACCCCAACAGAAGAGTTGCACCCAAGGGAGCCCTCGTGGTGGCTCCGCATGTGGCTGGTGTGTGGGTCCTGGTCACACTGGCTCCTTGGAGCTCAGGTCTGGAGGACAATTCTGTGCTTTTTGACTTGCTCTTCTGGTAGCCATGGAAGAGCCACAACTCAACTGGCACATACAGAGCATCCTCATGGGTCCGCGAAGAACAATCTCTGACCAGCCCCATTGGGCTGGGAAGAGAGAAAAGAAAGAGGCTGGTTTTTGCAGGTAATGGTTTTTATCCCAGAACAGCTGGAAGATACATCCCTGAATGTGTTGCCCAGAGAGCTCTCAAAGTCTCATCTGTTAGAGATCAGAGATGGGGATGGGGAGGGACTGGGGTTGGGACAATGCTCCACGGTTCCAAGCTGTGCACACACACACACTCCACAGCATATCCCTGAAAATCCATGGGCTGTAGGGACCCTCCAAGCGCTGTCCATCAGAAGCCAGAGTGCAGAGTTACTCCTCAGCAAAGTCTCTGTCAATGTCCATATACGCCTCGTCGATGTAGCTAACTATGGCACAGGGGGATGTCCGGTCTGGACTGAGCAGTATAGATACAGTCTCTTTCCAGTAGGTAAAACTAATACATGAGCTCTGTGGGAAGAGATGAAGAGGTTGGTTAGTGAGGTCCACAGGCACTGACATGCAGCAGAAGACACGTCCCATAGGCATTCAGTGGAAAGAACTGAAAACTGCTTCTTATTCAACCTGACTTGCCCAGCCCCACACCTCTGGGTCACAGTTCACCCCTCCTTGCCAGGGTAGGGAGCAGAAGGGGTCAGAAGAAGTTCCTCTTCAGGTATCTCATCTGTAGGAGACTGCCTGCACATCACTCATGACAGCCATGTGGCTGTGTGCTGCAGTGTATACACACACACCCCAAAGGGCTTTCCTTAAACACATTAAAATCTGTTAAAGCTGCCACTCAATCACTGAAAAGTCAAGGAAGGAACCTGTGCAACCTCCCTTCAGCCTTCTAGGGCACATACAAGGGAGTTGTCTTCTCATTACAGCTCATTTCTTCCTCTTTTCAGTGCCCAAGACAGATCAGCTTGAGTGGGTAACAGTGGGCTGCTTTCCTTGTATTGTATGTCCTTTGTAAACAGGGCAGCTGCCTTGTATTGGAGCAGCTACATCAGCCTGTTTTCCTGCACTGTCACTTCCACACCAGAAGAGAGGAGACAGTCTGGTTAAGGTGCTAACTAATGAGAGAGGTGGATTCTGTCCTGCCTCCACACCCCTGTGCAGGGCTGTTCACCTCACCAGTCCTGCCTCTCAAACCCACCCAGCACTGGCAAGTCTCACTGAGTCCTGCTTGCAGGGAAACCCAGCACCTACCTTGTGGGGTCTGACTGCTTACAGAAGGGACCTGACTGGGAAGATGATGTGAAAAACACTACATAAAGTCACATTTTGGGGCACAGCTTGCTCCCTTCTTGCCCTTCACAAACTCTCACTTCCCATTTTTGCCAAGTGACTAGCAGACAGACATTGCTACGACTGATTCTTGCTATGCTAAGAGGCTCACATACATTTTCTAAGCAGGTGCTGTCTTTATCCTTGTTGAGGTAATGCTGCTGCCAGAATCGCAGGAGACTGTGGAAGTTGTTCAGGATGAAGCCTGGGTATTTTTCTGTGTATTCCATCTGTTGCAAAGTGTGCAGATAAAAAGGCAGCTTTTCTTTCCTTCGGGCCAGCATTAGGATAACTAAACTTGTGTTCAAACAACTGACATTTTCCTACAGGTAAAAATGACACAGTAGGTTAGACAAGAAAACCCCAAACCAACCACAACCCCCCTGAGATATCAGCTGTACACATCCTTACAAAACATGCTCACGGTGAGCAGGAGGAACTCCTACATGTATCAAGAAGGGACATGGGTCTCCTCAAGACAGGGCAGGCTCCCCCCTGCTCCCAGCCCAGTTCGTCACTACACAGTATCAGCAATCTGCAAAGTTAGTCAGCTCTTTACCTGTGTAAGTGTCTGTACATGAATAATATTAATGAGACGGAAAAGAAAGGACATTCTCATGGACATCTGGGACATATATGACAACAGGCGGCACTCTGACAGGACTTCTGCAACTGCAGCAAGAGGAAAGAGACAGTCATCAGGTATTTAAAGTTCAGGCAGGTTGGTCCCAACAACATGGCAGTAAGGGCTGGTGCTCAGACTGTAGCAATAAACATGCAGAGTGGCATTTCTCAGTCTAAAATGAAAGTTTTCAAAGCCCACACTTTAAATAACCACTATCACTACCAAACACCCCCCACACCACTTCTTATTCAAGTGCCTACAGGGACAGGACAAGGGCAATGGCTTTAACCTGCCAGAGGGGAGATTGAGATGAGCTCTGAGGCAGAAGCTCTTCCCTGTGAGGGTGCTGAGGCGCTGGCACAGGGTGCCCAGAGAAGCTGTGGCTGCCCCATCCCTGGCAGTGTTCAAGGCCAGGTTGGACACAGGGGCTTGGAGCAACCTGCTCTAGTGGAAGGTGTCCCTGGCCATGGCAGGGGTTTGGAGCTGGATGATCTTTAAGAACCCTTCCAACACAAACCAGTCTGGGATTCTGTGATTCTTTACCTTTAGCATCAGACTGATTCTCAAACCGGTCCAGGGACAGGGTAATGCAGCGAACAAGCATGTTTGAATCAACCAATGAACTGTTGATCTGATTTAAAAAAATCTGGAACTAAAGAGAAATATTTCTTAGTGTTGTATTAAAAAAATAAATCACAACAAAACCCCCATCTTACATGCACACCCACAGATGAGGTCTGAGAGAACAGCATTTCATATCCTTTTCAGAAAGGGTATGGCCAAGGGGAGTGCTAAAGCAGTTACTCTGTGGCAGAAGGGAACAGCTCAGTTAGGAAGACCTACAAACAGGGTTTAGCAAGTAGGGCAACAGTAAGTGTCCTCTAGGTGTTTAACACTGAAAGAGAACAGTTCTCAATGGATATATGGAGAAACCACTTTAAATTCCGAGCACAAGCACCTAAAACATGCACTTCAATATAAGGCTTCAGACATGGACAATTTCCCCTTCCCTTCAGAAGGAAGAGTTCAGTTCTGAATGCCCAAACGCCCAGGGTCATTTCCTTTTTTGTTATCCCCAACAAGAATAAGAGGAGATCCACACTCCAGGACCTGCCTCATCCAGCTCAAGCCAACACTAGCACTGAGGGCTGGCCAAAGGATCCACCTTAAAAACACTATGTCAAAGAAAAATGCCAAAGTCCTGGCACCACTCAAATCTCTTTTGAAGCTGGGTCACTTCAATGAGGCCAAGATTTCATACACTGTAGGCTTTCAAAGAGGGAAATGAGGCAGCATAGCTGCTGGGGTCTCTAGTTCCTCCAGCTCCATGTTTTCCTACACTTACATTGTACAAGCAGACAGCGCTTGGGAGGAATAAAGTGGAGAAATACAGAATGACAATTAAAGAAATTACAGATTGATAAATAGGAAGCGCACACAAAGTATAAGGACAGATTCTCTAGAAGGACTGAATTCATTTTACCAGAAAGCCACCTGAAATTAAATGCATCTTTCTTTTAAATCCATCTCTACTTCTATCCTTCATGGTCCTCCAGACTTAACAGCAACCAGAGAAACATTTCAGTAACAGAAGCAAGAGTACGAGTTGAATCAAAGCCTACTCAACAGCTGATCTCGTATGCACAAAGTGCATGAAACCACTCTGCATAGACAGTTGCCCATTCTTGATCTACATATGCAACTAAGTTTTACAGGTAATTACATCAGCCTTGTATGCAATTGTCTGTAAATTCACATAACATCAAGGCATGTCTTTCTGCAGTATCAAATATTGAGTATTTAAAGTCATCTCCATGAAGAACCCTTAAAGCTTTAGTAAAAGATTTTTGGAGCCTGTCTCAATGTCCACAACTATCAACTTAACCCAAAGCCCAGTCACTTCACAGGAAACATTCTACCATCAACCCTGACCTTAGCCCTGCCTGATCATGCAACAGGGCAGTGTTTTCTGAGCAGCTCAGTGCTTGCTGACTCACAAGAGCTGAGAGCACTTCTGAGAACATGAGTGTATGTAGCAATATACACGCTTGTGAAGAGTCTCTGGCAGCTAACTCAGTGTTTATTGTGCACCAAGCTCAACAATCACACCAAAATCAAATGCATCTGAGCTTTGGTGCTGCGTTTGGCTGTGTTGTAATTTGTGTAATATGACCCACTGGACACAGCTTCTACAAGTATTTACCTTCTCATCTGTGTTGATGTACTTGTTGAACCTCTTGAATGCATCAATATTGAATTTCATCAGCTCTCCCAGAAGGTCAAAGTAACTCTGAAGCACATCTCGTGATTTGCACTCACTATCAACAATGCAGTAGAGAATATGCTGGCATGGGAGAAAAACATGTTATTGCCACAGTTTAGGCAGAGCCAGCAGTACAGCACAGAATCTGATTTAACCACTAAAACATTTATCTGCAGGTTTAGTTCTAAGATGGGAGTTCTGTTAAGTTAATCCCAGTGATTAACTTAAACAGGGAAAGTTCAGGTTAGATATAAGGAAGAAGTTCTTCACTGTGAGGGTGCTGAGGTGCTGGCACAGGGTGCCCAAATAATTGGTGAATGCTCCATCCCTGGCAGTGTTCAAGGCAGGGCGGGACAGAGTCTTGGGTGACATGGTTTAGTGTGAGGTGTCCCTGCCCATGGCAGGGGGTTGGAACTGGATGAGCTTAAAGGTCCTTTCCAACCCAAACCATTCTATGATTCTATATACTTCATTACCTCCAGGAGTCCTCTCTTCATCAGGAACATCTGGTCTGCATAGGAGGTGGTGCCCCGCAGAAAGCTTTCAACTGCCCTCGCTTGCCAAAACCTGAGAGATAGAAGAAATGAGTTTTTAATTTTGGAGCAAGGGAAGTATTTATCACAACTATAATTTAAATCAAATTTCCTGATCTGTTTCATTCCAGTCTGAAGCTGGACCTGTTGATCCTGTAGAAAGTCACTGACTGTGCTGGGTATGAGGTCCGACATAGGCTCTGGCATCCTCCCTCACCTGCACTACCATAGTAGCCAAGTGCAACAAAGCCAGATCTTCTCACAGGTTATCATTTTCTATGGCTGTATGAAAACAAACTGTCTTCCCAGTCAACTCAAAAGAGTTCCAAAGTGAACCCACCTGAAGGAAGATTCAGCTGGTTCCTTCTTCATGACCTGAAGCAGTCTGGTCAACAAACCCCTTTTCCCATCGCAGACAAGACTCCTAGAGCATGTGAGGAAGTCACAGCATGAGTGGATGGGCTGGTGAGCTCTGTACCTTGTAGAACACTGAATCCAGTCTCTTCCCCAGAGCTTCTGATCACCAAAATCCCAATATTAAATATACAGTACGAACAGTCATTGCTAGTTCTACCAGTGGAAGAGTTCTCCTCACTGCCTTTGATGAACAACTGCAATAAATAGCTGCCCCATGACAAACAAACCCTAGAGAAAAACAATTCATTTCCTCTCAAAATTTTAATGATTTGAGAAATACCAATTCACAGCTTGTAGGAGTTAATAGGTTAGAAGAAAAACCCCACATACACCACATTTTTGCTTAGGAATGAAAGTAACAGGGGCCTTTTTTGCTCAATAAACGTAAAGGAAGCTCCAAGTTCTGTTAAGGAGACAGAGCAGAGTATGGAAACCTAAATGCTACATGAAGTAACCTCCTGCATGTAGCACTAAAAACATAGAGGCTGTAGAACTGCAATACTATTTGTATTAAATAGCATCTTCAGTGGATGCACCTACAGCAAGCTTGTGCAGAAGCAATGACTTGATCCACCCCTGGCAGTGTTCAAGGCCAGGTTGGACACAGGGGCTTGGAGCAACCTGCTCTAGGGGAAGGTGTCCCTGCCTGTGGCAGGGGGTTGGAACTGAATGAGCTTTAAGGTCCCTTCAACCCAAACCATTCTTTGATCTCATGATATCAGGAAAAGCAACATGGAAACAAAATGCTAAGGGTGAAAAAGAAACCAGGTTTAGGCCAGAAACAAATGGAGCAATGCTCCTGTCAGGCGACACAAGCCACCCTGTAGAGGCAGAATGAAGTGCTTCAAGCTGCATTCTCCTACTCAAAACACCCCAGCAAGCAG